CACCTGAAATGTGTGGCCCCAAGGTGAGGTCAGTGTGAGGGCCGTCTACCCTGAGCTGGCCTTCATATGTGGGTGGTCAAATCTTTGCTATATTTATTTTTTTTGAGACAGAGTCTCACTCTGTTGCCCTGGGTAGAGTGCTGCGGCATCATAGCTCACAGCAACCTCAAACTCCTGGGCATAAGTGATCCTCTTGCCTCAGCCTCCTGAGGAGCTGGGACTACAGGTGCCCACCACAATGCCTTGCTATTTTTTTTTATTTTTTATAGAGATTGGGGTCAGGCTGGTCTCAAATTCCTGAGCTCAAAGGATCCTCTGGCCTCAGCCTCCCAGAGTGCTGGGATACATGTGGGATCCACTGCACCTGCCCTCTTGGCTGTATTTGAACCACTGAACATTTCAGTTTTGTTGTCAGATTATTCTGATTTACGGGCTTGGTGTTGACATAGCTTCTTGTACACTGAACTTTTTATTTGGAACCCTGGCCCCCTAAATGTGAGCAGAGCCCTCATGAATGGGATCAGCATCCTTGTAACAGCAGCCACAGAAAGGCCCAGGCCCCTCACCCCTTGTCAGTAAGAAGGAGCCTCCGTGGACCAGGAGGAGGCCCTCTCCAGACAGACTCTACTGGCAGCTGACCTTGGACTTGCCAGCCTCCAGGCCGTGAGGAACACATTTCTGCTGTCTGTCAGCTGCCCAGTCTGTGGTGTGCTCCAGTGGTTGCAGCGGGGGGCTAAGGCCACGGCATGTGGATTGTGTGGCACCAAATAATAAAAGGTGTATCATCTAACTGGCAGTTGTATGTGAAGGACACGACTGTTGTTTGTATTTTTCTAGGGATACTGAACAGAATAGAGTAGCAAAATTGACTTAAGAAGAAATAGAAAATCTGGAAAACAAAGTAATCAGCATAGAAATCAAATCAGCCTTTCATACTTTCTCATCCCGCTCCCTTGCTTGACCCCAGTCCTGTCTCTCTTCTGCCAAAGATGGCCCCAAGGTGAGAGTTGACCAAGACCAGCTCATCGCTACTCTCTGAAACAGTCTGCACCAATCAAGTGCCACAACTCACTGACAATAGTATAATCATGAAAATATAACAGTGTAAGGAGTTTTGAGAGGAAATTACTGAACAATCTCACTCACATAAAATTTTCTAATGTTATGTACTAACTCAGCAGTACTATGTATAGAAAGATGCCAACAAAGTAAGGTTTATCCCAGGAATATAAACACAACATGAGGAAAAAAAAATCTATTCAAGTAATACACTACATTAGGATTTTAAAAGAAAAATACTCACTTAAATAATTTATATAAACTTAATAGCTATATGAAGAAATTTAAGGCCAGGTGCAGTGGCTTACACCTGTAATTCCAGCACTTTTCAAGGCTACAGGGGAGGATCACATGAGACCAGGAGCTTGAGACCAGCTTGGGCAACAGTGAGACAAATTTTTTTTTAAAACGTGGCAATACTTGGCTCACATTCTATTTTTTTTTGCAGTTTTTGTCCGGGGCTGGGTTTGAACCCACCACCTCCGGCATATGGGGCCAGTGCCGCACTCCTTTGAGCCACAGGCACCGCCCTCACATTCTATTTTTTGGATAGCACTGCCCTAGACTAAGTGTGAAGTCCTCAGTGTGGCGTCTCATCCCCACTAGGGACGTCAGAGCCAGCAGAAGGCAGCAGACGCCAGATGTCACACAGCCAAGGGCCTTGAAAGCGTGAGGGGTATACGGCACTCCAGCCCAGCCACGCAGGGCACTCCCACACTCACTTTCTTATAAACCTGGGGATCAGTGTTTTGCTCTTCCTGAGCCCCAGTTCTCTTAATATAAGCTCCCTGTAATCCCTAGTGTGGATTGATGACCATCCCTTCCTAGCCTTCTCTGCCCATGTTCCCTGGTCCACTGAACACCTTATCATCACCCCCACAGGGCCATGCCAAGCACAGACCCCACGTGGGCCTTATTTATCTGATTTCCCATGACAACCACTGTCAAAGGTGACAGGCGAATCCTGCAGATTTCAAGATGACACACTTTAACTCAGAGAATAAACTGGCCAAATCGCTCAACTTCAGCAACCCCCTCCTCTTTTCCACAGGGGTCTGCCAGTATTTAAAGTTTTTTTTTTTGAGACATTCTAAGCTGTTGCCCTGGGTAGAGTGCCATGGCGTCATAGCTCATAGCAACCTCCAACTTGGGCTTGTGATCCTCTTGCCTCCGTTTTTTCTATTTTTAGTAGAGATGGGGTCTTGCTTTTGCTCAGGCTGGTCTTGAGCTCAAGCAGTCCACCTGTCTTGGCCCCCCGCAGTGCTAGGATTACAGGCATAAGCCACTGCTCCCAGCCTGAATTCAAGTTCTATTTTCTTCCTATTCCTTTTTTTTTTTGGCCAGGGCTGGGTTTGAACCCACCACCTCCAGCATCTGGAGCTAGCGCCCTACTCCTTTAAGCCACAGGTGCCACCCTCTTCTTATTCCTTCTTATTTTGTTGGGCTCTGAGAGTGAGATGAGGATATTATTCATTACTTTAAATATCCTCACATTCCTTCCGCCCAAACATACGTGAAACTAGGTGCCAAAGCTCAGTGATATTTGAAGAGATGACATCAGCAATGGCGGCTTCACTCACGCAACCCAGGGCTCATCACTGCTGGGGACTTTCCACCCAGGCCCTGCTGCCTGAGAGGCCCGATGTGGAAGGCAGGCTCAGTGCCCACACACATTCTCTGCCACTGACCAGAGGAAGAAAATCACCACTGCTCTCCAGACCAGCACCTTTTGTAAATTTAAGCTAAAGAAAAACAAAGTAAGCTGGCCTCCTATCAGGGTCTGCATAGTTAACCAGCAGTTACTCTAATTCAAAATGTACCTTGGTAGCATTGACAATGCCTGTTTTGAGAATGCCTTTACTGAAGGCATCACAAACGTATCCTACAGGACGGGTGTGTAGTGGACAGCCACCTTGCAAGACATTCGAAATGAAAGGGAGGAGAAAATTTTACAATTGTTTTATTTAACAAAATTTACGCAACTTCTATATCTATATACAAATGTATTTCAAAACCAGAGCAGCAGACACACACAGTTAACACAGGAATTATAATAATGCTTAACACACGGTACACAAAGTTTTGTTCTCTGCTCAGACAGGCATTTACGAATTTAAATTATTCCCAAAGCTGAGCAGCATCACGCCTTCATTTTCTAGGATGGCTTATGTAACATGGTCTAAAGAAAGAGGGACGGAGCTTTTGAGACTTAATGTAGTTGCCTTAGTTCAACAAACACCCCTTGGTCTACATTCAGGGCTCACAAAATGTTTTGGACTAGGGATAAAAATTTGATTAAAACATAATTAGAGTATACTTTGAATCAGTGGTCTCTTTTTAAATTTTTTAGTCTATTTGTCTATATCATAAATATAACAAGTTCATTTTTCTGATCCCCTCCCCCCAAACTACTTTAAAAATTAAGTATAGGGGTCATGGTGTGTGACACAACTTTTGGGGGCGGGACACGATTATAAGAGGGCCTTTACCTAACAAATGCAATCAATGTAACCCGGTTCTTTGTACCCTCAATGAATTCCCAACAATTAAAAAAAAAGAAAAAAGTAAGTGTAAAATAATTTTATTAGTAGTACTAACAAAACGTAGTGAACAGAGGTCCTTCAAGATCAAGGTTAAGAGCACACAGATGCTCACACAGCTCTGCCTCGGCTTCCTCTTTGTTGAGATGTCTTTGTTTTGTGAGACATTCCTACTGTTCAGCTATTTTCTAAAGGTCTGTATTCAGGGAAGACAGCTACTTTTTGCTTTCCCATTTTTATGAGTTCTAGGAACACTTCAATTTCTTCAAGGGTCTCATAGTTGTGAAAATCCCAAAAAGCTCTGCTACATATTCTACTCACAAAATTAGACCCCCAAGTATGTAAACTGTGTTTTAGATAATACACGAAAAACAGATGATGCACAAAGTGTAAATATCTCAGGTTGACGCTTAACACTGACCCGATTCATGGCCAATTCTCAGTCTAGCTTCTCAAGAAAAAGCTACTAACTGGTGAGGTATAGGAGAAAAAAAGTAAAAAAACAGAGAAATCAAAACAGAACATCACAGCTTTTTCTTCTCTCCTCCACGTCTTGGGAACTTTCTTCTATGCTGGAAGAGCACAAGTGTACAACACGGATAAAACTTCAGAATGCTTCTTTATGTGTGAAATGGTATCCAAGATCCATTTCCCAAAAAGCACTACATGAAATGCACAAGGACTGAACGCTGTGATAAAATGACCCGCAGGGGTTTCCCTTCCGGTTCGTTCTCTGTGTAGAAAGCAGACCCCATCACTTGCTATGCTTTCATTTTCAAAGAATGAGATCAGACCGTTATAAAAATGTGCTTCCAAAATAAATTATTTCTAGAATATAAAACGTTTTACATTTATCTAGCCCACTTATTATAAAATAGGAAATCAGAAAATTAGCTACTGCAATTTTCATATGGTAAAAATATTTATGTGTACACACATATATACACATATGCAAATGCAAGTTTTAAATTTCAATAAAAATGAACCAATTAATCAACTTAATAATCATGTCTTGATACATAAGACTGTTGATCATTTGCAATGAGAGCCAACTATAAAGGGGTCCACTCCACTTACCAGAGGATAATCTAATACTTTCCCACGTGGAAAAAAATAAAAAGGAAGTCTCCAACTGACTACCTGGGGAAGAAATACTGGTGTCTTGTTTTTTCAGATGTAACAACCCCCCAGTTCCATTCACTGCACCCTGCAAGTCCCCTAAGGCAGGAATAGTCCCCCAAAGAAGAAAACTAGAGCTGGGCTGCCCCGTGGCTCTCAGCTGCCTGTGTTGTATGGAGTCTGTTGTAGTGACTGTTAAGTGAGGACTGCAACCCAGCCCTGAGCTGCACCTGCCAAGCTGCCCACCGCTCAGAAAGCCTGTGCAGGGGGCAGGGGGCAGGGGGCAGGGGGCAGGGCCAGGAAGGTGTGCTGGCTAGGAAGGCATGGCCAAGACTGGCTAGAAGCAGATCCTGACTAGCAAGGAAGCTAGGGACCCCACCCTGCCACTTCAGCATTTTGTTGACGTCTGCCAGTAGCTAGTAATTTTGACAGGGAAAACCTTAGGAGCCTCAAAGGCATAGGAGGAAAGACAGAAGTGAGTGGGAGGCTGAGCCAGGACCTGCCCTGGGGCAGTGTCTGTGACCCGCAGGGTCAGTCACGCTAAACTCCTCTCACAACTTGCATTGCAAGCTCACCTTGAATGTATTCCCAAGTTTTATCTATGTTGTAAGATGTCTGTTGCCTCATATTTTAAATCAGTCACTTGATTTATGTATGTGGGAGTGCTAAGGACAAAGACTCAATTTTAGATTTTTCTATAAGTATCCTTTTTTCCTCCCAAAAGGCACATTCCCTACTGAATTGGTCATAAATCAAGGTATTTTAAAAGCAAGCAAAAGCTAAATACTTGAAAATGTTATCTTTCTTCTCCTAACACCTGCTGTTGAAGAAGTTCAGGCAAGTTCCTGGAAACAGTCTTCAAAATGGCCAAAAGCAAATTCTCTGTGCTCTATGAAACACAAGTATTCTAGAATGAGGAATGGGTTAAAAAGAGTGGCCAGTTTTCTGTAATAAAATTTAAGACAATTAATAAAGTAGAAAATATAATTTCCATCATGAACTAAATATTCAGGAGATAAGTTAAAGCAAAAACAAGGTGGATGTGCACACCACATTTAATTCTTCAGTAGCACTTATAATCAAAATACGTGTGGACAGCCTCAGTCTGCCCCTCTGAATGTATGACGAAAGACCTGTGTCTACTGAGAAAAAGGGAAGCTAAACAGAGAGGTCTCAGGTCACACTGAAAATCTGCTGAAGTTTCAATCTTCTCTCCAGGAAAATGCATATACATCGACTCATGTGTATAATTTGGGGACATCAAATACATTCGAAGGTCCAGTCTCATGTCTCAGGTTCAGACACCTGGCTCTCAGTCTTCTTACAAGGGATCTGAAGAATTAGGAACCCTCTTGTTTCTACAGTCTGTATCTCTCCTGTTGAATCTGGAAGGAGGGTACCCCAAACCAGACTAAACTAAAATAAAAATAACTTGCTTCGCGCAGCCCTTTTGTACTTATTTGCCCTTGGAAGACAGCACGTCCCAGTCTCTGGTTGCTTCTATCAAATGCCGCTGGCCGTGACTCATCCACTCCTCCTGGTCTTCATACAGCCGCCCACAGAACCAGCACTTAAATATACACTGAGAAGAGTCATCGGGCAAGGAATCCACCACCTGGTAGTTGTTTTTATGAACTTTTTTAAGTTTCATTTTCAACATCATTTGCCTTCTGATTTGATTGGCTTCCTCCATATTCTGGTAGGTGAGCCGGAAGTGGTGCCGTCTGATGCCGAGCTGGCACCTAGTCCTCTCTGATAACACAACTTTGAGGACGTTGCCTTTGTACTTATTTATTACCTTCATCACATTGGTCACTTCTGGGGAGTCCACATCAGGATGGTTTAACACGATGACTGGCTGGTTCCGGCGGGGGCATTTAATTAGCTGATCTGGCTTAGCAGCTACCAGTCGAAGTTGTCTTGCAACCTGAAAAATTGAAGGATCCTTGAGATAGCGGCTGGGGTCAGCCTGAATCTTGTTTTTCTTCTTGGATAAGCTGACTTGTTTGGTTTTATTTCTACTAATAGGGAGACTTCTGGGAAGCAGCCTCCCTTGCTTGCTCAACTCGCCACTCCCTTGCAGTCCGTGCATGAGAGCAGTCTTTCTTGGGGTGGTGCTGCAGATGGCACTCTCTTTTCTTGGTTTAAGCCGAAAAGATGTCTCAAGATCTGGGGACATGTCTCTGGTCTCACTTTCACTTGTCAAAGGCTGGATGTCTGAGTCTGTCTGTTTCACAGGGTAGGAGGGAAAAGGTTTTATTAACTGTGTCTCATGGCCAGGTATGTCAGGAGGTGCTTCACAGGTGGCCTCTATGATGTGGGCGTCCTCAGAGGAGTTGAGAACCCTCAACACTGCCCCTTTGGGGATCAACACTGGAGCAGCAACGTGAGGCTTCCTGGTCTCTTTTTCAGTTTTCCCACTGATGCCACTGACAAACTGTGGACGTGCCTGCTGAGGAGCAAGGTGTCCATGACCAGCAACACCACTGTCATTCTGAGGTTTCTGGAGGGCACCTGTGGGATGACCATGGCCAGTCAATGACACATTCACTTCTTCAGTATTTTCAGGGACAGCTTTCGAAGTTGTCTTTGAGGCCTGCCCTGCAGAACGGCGGTGTGCGCTGTTTGCAGCCAAAGACGAGGGCTTGCCGCAGGACTCGATCAGCTGAGCGATCTTTCTGCGCAACAGTTCAATTGACTTTATCTTGGATGTTGAACTATTCCACTTAATGCCCTCAGGCACATTTTCAGATCCAGAACTTAGAGAAAACACTGATGAGATGACCGGGCCATCAAAAGTATCACTTGTCTTTTCAGAATTCTTTAATTCCAAAGGCTTATCATCCCCAGACTGCTGAGATCTGATTCTGTTATCGCTGGTTGCGTTTACATGTAAATACTCACTTCTCTGTGGAGAGGACATCTGGCTTATATATGCAACTGCCTTTGGTTCCTCTGTCTGGTTCTCTTCCAGCTTCCTATTAGAGGAGACCATTCTTACAGGAATGCTGATCTTACATCTAGACTCTAGGTCATTTTCTCTTATGGGCAACCAGCCCTTTTCTCTAGGGAAGGGGACGGATGCAGGTGATGCGGCAAGAGGGAGTAACTCCTGTGAGCTGCTGGGTAGCCTCCTTCCACCTTCAGCAAAGGACACAGCAGCTTTATATGGAAAAGGGTTTGATGCAGCTCCAAGCCCACAGAAAATACCGTTTTTAAAAACAGATGCTGGTGAACGACCTTTTAAGGCAACAGAATGAAGAGAAGCTCTATGTGGATATAAGTTATTTTTTTTCTGGAAATCCTCAACTCTTTCAGAATTGAGAAAGGATTCTCCATGGTTGTGTACATTAGAGTTTGACATGAAAAAATCATAAGACCTTACCCACTTCACATTTCTAAGTTGTTTCTGAATTGAAGACTGAATACGGTCAATGCCTATGAGTTTTCCAACATTCCCTTCAATTGTTAGAGACTTTTCCCCTGCAGAATCTATTTTTTCTTGTTCATTTGAACCCTTCTCTTTAGTCATATGCTCAAAATTACCTCCACTGCTCCTGCCGGCTTCACGGCAATTCTTTTCTTCCCGTGGAAACAGTTTCAGAACCAGCTGCTGTGTGCCATTGACAACCTTCACATCTACCAACTGGGCTAAACAGTTCGCAGGCACAACCAGTTCTGCCGGAGCCACGACTGTGAGCGGCATACCTGGCTGGACAGGTTCTTTTGCAGGAGATAACACTTCTACCTCCACATTTTTGTTCTCAAATAGGTTGGCTTCGCTTTGCTCAGACAGGGCCATTTTATTTGGGATGCACACTACATCTTTTTGGTATTCCTTTGGTTCAGGTAACAACATGATGTTGTGCATTTTGTCTTTATTTGCATGGAGAGAGAATCTTGAAAGTTGATCTGACAACTTATTTTGAAATGTAGTCCTTGGATTGGAAGCTTTCAGAAGCTCCATGTTTTGTTTTGAAGTACCAGCTCTTTTCGGCTCCAGCTTGGCAGCTGTTTTGAGTGGCTGTTTCGCACCAGCCCTCTCATGGACTCTCTTCCTGTGTTTGACAATATAATCATTTCTGATGGCACCGTAGTCACAGTACTCACACCGGTAAGGGAAGATGCCTGTGTGTTTCACCAAGTGCCTCTGAAACTCTCCTTTTGTATATGAGATGTAGCTGCAGTGGGAACAAATAAATTTAATCTCTTCATGTTGAAGTGTGTGCTTTTTGAACTGCAAAGGGTCCTTTGTGGAAAATCGACATTTATCACAGTAATATTTGCCCGGCTTAAAGTTCCTCACCTTAAATTTGTTATTGACAGAACTTGAAATGGTTTCAATTTTATTTCCAACGTGAGTTGCACTGGGATTATTGTTCACAAAATGGAAATTGGGAGGCGCCACACCCAGACTGCATTTGAAGCAGACATATATGTCTTCCTTCTGGCTTTGCCCTGTAGCCTTTTTCAAATCTTGACGAGGGATTCTGTGAACGCTTTTGCACTTCACACATGTAGCGATGGTCATCATGGCAGCCTCTGCCTCTGAGCCTTGATACAAAAGGCTTTGCACTTCCTGTCTATCTGGTCGAGGTACTCTGCTAGCATCAGGCTGTTTGGGTGACATGGTCAAGGAATTGTGTCCACCATTCATTTGTGTTGCATATAACTGCTGTCCAATATCCTTCATCTTCTTTATCTGCATTTCTAAAAAGAGCTGACTGAAATTTGGAAAGATTTCACATGATACAATCCTCAGGAGGCATCCTTCAATATAGTTTGTGAGTGTGACTGGAGGAGGGGCTGCTGCTTGCTGGGTACACACTTATCTTTGTTGGATATACCGCCACAGGGGTGCAGGTCACAAAATGTGATTGCTTTCAGTTTTCTGACATTCCCAGAAACACTAAAGGAAAACAAAATTATAAATCTTGATTAATATAACAACTTATAAGGGTTTTGTTAAGCCATTACCCTGTTTTTTAATGGTTTTGAAAAACTCTCAACACACGAACTTGAATCCCTGTTACAGTAATACTTGACACAACGGAGCTGACAAACTGGCCTGAATGAAAACATTTCCATACTCAGCCCTCTAAAAATCATCACCTTAGTAGACCAATTATGCACATGGATATACTAGAACAAGGACACCACAGCAGCCACTCAGAATAGCCTTTGATCAGTAGGAATTATTTTTAAGGCCCAGTAAGCACATCATAGCAATTTCACAGATGTATTTCTTAGTTCACAAACCTCTTATATAGAATACTGTCAGTCGGCTTTTGAGTATGTGAGTTATCAAGCTGTAGAGTTTCACCCGGTGTTCATATTTGTTTCTATACTATGGCTCACTCTCAGCATGGACACTTGGGGGGCAGGAGAGTGAGCTGCCTGGGAGGGAGAGGCAGGGCCCAGGCTTGTTGAGGGGGACGTGGCAGGAGGGTAGTGGCACCACCCCACCTGGTTTATATCTCAGCATCCTGTACTGCTGTGGGGACCACAGTCTACAAGGTGCGAAACAATGGCAATAAACGCAAACAGCCTGGAGTGGAGCAGAAGAGGTGACAGACATTTTCTAGAGCAAGTGAGTCCTCCAGTCCATACAGACTCATGTAACTTAGTGATAAATATTTTTTTGCATTTTTTTTTTTGGCCGGTCCAGGTTTGAACCCGCCACCTCTAGTATATGGGGCCAGCGCCCTACTCCTTTGAACCACAGGTACCACTAAACAAATTTTTATATCTTCATTAAAGACAGTTTTTAAGGAACATAAAGAACTAGGAGCCAA